CCTGACAACCTCAGGTATGACAGGGAGTGACGGCAGTGCCACAAACTGAGATGTTCCATAGAAATGCCACTCTGTGTTGCCATACTTTCCAACTTTATAAGAGGTCAGAACTTTGAATTCTTATGTGAAAACGCTGCATTTACAAATGTTAGCAATAATTTAAATTTATTTCAACCCTCTGAGGTTGCTCACACAGCAGACCTCCAGTTTAAAGTCTTTTCCCACGTAAGTACTAGAAAATGGAATGATTTTAATGCAGTCAAAGTAGCAGCTACGGTAGTTTCTTCATATGATGCTTTGCCCACAGTTCTCAAAAAACATTGTTAAGAAATAGACAGACCAGCCAACTGACCATCAACCTCTTGTCAAGCCGACACAATTTTTAAGACCTACGTAGGCACTCTGCTATTCTACCATGTGCATAACATAGCCAGATTGTCAGGACATGTAAGCATTTGTTTCTTATCACAGGTGTGGTATAAAAACAGCTGAAAAACATCCTTGCCTTCTAAAAGTGATGCAGACTCTAATGTTGAGGACATACAGAGAATCTAGTGAGACTTTGCTGGTTTGTATTTTGTGAGATCAGTCTTGAGCATTGGTGGTGTCATGTCAAGTGACATTAGGGACTTTGTATTTTAATGGATCTTAATGGATTTACGTATTTTCCCCATATTCATTTTTGATGCCTGAATTTTTAGAGATTAATCCCTTATAATCATTTATTTATTTATTTATTCAGCATTCGGCGATCACTTACTTATATGCCAGGTACTGTACAAGATGCTAAGGAAAGAAAGACAGTGAAGTCATAACCCCTGCTTTTGAGGAGCTGCAGTCTAATGTACAAATCGGGGGAGGGTGCGGTGCCTAGAAATGATCACAACACAGTCAGATAAATGAACCTTGGAAGGAGGTGGCAACTCTATCCAACCAATAATAAATACCTGGGCATGGTGGGGAGCGGGGAGGTTGAAAAATGTCCCACTTTCTTGGTAAAAGTGACTGTAAATGTCCTGAAAAGTATTAGGCAGGGCCAACCACACAATCTCTGGAGCCTCTTATTGAGAACTAGCAATCTCTAGACAGTGACAGCAGGGCATTAAACCTAGGGGCCACATGAGACTGCACAGGTCGCATGCCCATGAACATTCGTGGGCTCTGTCTTCAAGGAATTCAAAGGAGTAGTATTTTAGTAAAGTAAAGGATTTTTTTCAGTTTTATTTTGTAGGTCTCTATTCAGTTATGGCATACATATACATAGCAGCTACTATATCAAGGGCCAGGCAAACAGCAGTAAAAATGATAGTCACCACCTCTACCCTTGAGTATCTTCTGAGAGTTTCACGTGTGATAATTTTATTAGCTGGTCCAAGTATGTCTTACTTACATTCTGAGAAAACATTTAAATGCCCAGTGATTCTTACTTTATTTTATATTTTTAAGTATATATAAATTTAAAATATAATTTTAAATGTATAAACATAAATTTTCAATAAGGAATAAGTGTTATTTTGGTTTTCAGAAAAACAAGGTTGATATGAAAAAATATACTTACCCCCAAGTTCTATAATATTGGAAATTTAAATTCTATTTATAATAATGACTTCCACAAAACTTAGAAAAAAGTGTGAGGAAATAGATATGACCTTTGTTCTGAAGTTTAAATAGTTTCTCTTATTTATTATTGGTTGAGAAGAGACCAGAAATCAAAAAGGTCCAGAAATTTTTGTCATACCTGCATCAAAGTTTAACTTCTAGATAGTTCAGATCAGAAAATTTGAGGTGCGTTCCTTGGTTTGCTAAATTTCAGGGTAATAGCAATAGTTGATTTGGTTTGCTTTCAGGAAACATCTAACTGATATTACTGCAAGATAGTCCTTAGCTAATAGTGCCACTTGTTTAATTTGTAATTAGAAACTGTTATCATGCATTCTTAAGGAGTTTATTTCTGTGATGGAAGAATCCATAATGGTTATTCTTTATTGACCACTTGCTATATTCCAGGTATGGTAGATGTTTTACATATATTAATTTATTTAAACCTCGCAAAATATCTTGGTTGATATTAACCTCCATTTCACAGATAAGGAAACTGAAAAGTTGATTAGCTTGCTCTAAGTCTAATAACTGGCAGAGTTAGAATTAGCATCAAGTCTAGCTAATGCTGAAGCTACTTGCCATCATTCTTTGCCTTCTCCCAATCTTCTATGATTTTTAAAGAGTGCCTGTAAAAAGGAGACATAATAATTGAATGAGAACCTTCGGAGAAGAACAGGATGGAATCACTGAGATTGGAATCGACCTGGGTTGCCTAGGGTATATATGACTGCCTGTAGTCTGCAGAACAGCCACTGACCAGTAGGAAAAGGTTTGCAATGGGTTCACGACCTTAGGTTGGCTCCCATCCTCCCACCTCAACATCCCCAACCACCCCCATCACCCCAGATATCCAGAGAATGTGGGGATTAGTTGCAGGACTGCTGAGGGATGCAGGAATTGGGGAAGGTAATGCTGAGCAGGAGCATGGTAGAAGGCCATCTCTGAAAAATGAGACCAGAATTCAAAGGTGAAAAGGAACTGCTAAAGCAAAAGGTGACCAGAAAAAGTTCCCTAAAAGTTAGGACGCCCAGAGAGAAATAGTAATGTCAAACCACTCCAATGGAATTGGGATTAAAGGGTCACTAACAGGTGTTCTCTTGAAAACAGATCTTACTGGAGAGCAGCCAAGAAGAGTAGATGCTACAAGCTGTGGCCTCATTTACAGCACCATCATCTTGGTTTCCAAATCCCTTAATAGTCAGAGTCTCCAATGTAGTCTGATCTGGGTTTGATCCTTTTAGTGCATTCTTTACATGTATGGATATAGTCATGGTTATTGCTGCAAAGAGAAAAGTTTAGTGGGCATTGTGGTGTATACACTTAGGTCTACGTCAGTGCTGGGAAATGCCTGTTCTCAGGGCAACTTTGTAGATGCATTTCTTATTGGGTTATATAAATCACTGCTCATCTTTGTCTCATTTTTATTTCTCTTCTGATGCACAAGTCCGCATGTTGAATTCATTGTAACTTGTGCATGTGGACTGGAAGATTGGATTACTAAGCGTATGTTTACAGTAAATTGTGTAAAATTAGCTAAGTAAAGAGCTAAGACGTTAGACATTTCTTCTATATTAAGCAAGTATGTGATTAAAGTCGAGCAAAAGATTTTTATTTGAGGCCCTGAAGAAAAAGCATGTTCATTTTTTAAAAGTATCTATGAGTTGGTGAATAGTTAGTATTTAAAAGTATTATTTTAATTTAAAATAAATGTTATAAAGAATAACACACTCATACTGCCACCACCTAGAATTAACTGTTTACATGTTGCCACATATTCTTTAAGAATTTTTAATAAAAATGAAATATTATAAATAAAAATGAAGTTGTGTTATTCTACATACCACCCCCCAAAGCCATTCTCTTCTTCCATCTTTCTAGTGATAACTTCTATCATGAAACTAGTATCTTTCAGTCTGTATATAAATATAGAAAGGTATTTATATATGTTTATAAACACATGCAGGCATCTGTGAAAAATACTGTTTTGTGGGTACATTTATAAATGTATATACAACGTAGCATACTGCGTGCACAATAACAATAGTAGCAAACATTTACAGAGTGGATTACACTGTGCCTGGAGCTATACTATCTCCATCCTTTCAATTTCTCTGTGTAGAAGGCACTGTTGTTGTTATCCTCTTTTTTAGAAAATCAACAGAGACGTCAGTTGCCCAGGGTCACACAACTAATCAGTGGTGGGTCTGGGAATTATTCCCATAGCCAGGCTCTGGAGCCTGAGCACTAGACTGTCACACTACATGGCTTCTCTACTGTATCACTCTGCAGAAATCTTCACTCTTTCAATATCATGTTTCTAATATCTATAATTTTGAATTCATACATCTAGTTCATTCCTTTTTATGATTATATGATTCCTTTTTATTGTCTAGTAATATTTTATTGTGTGAATATACCGCATTTTGTCTATCAGCTGATGGAAATTCAGGCTCTTTCTGCTCTTGCTATTATGAATAACACTGAAATAATCATTCATATGCAAATTTTGTATGGACGTATAGTTTCATTATCTTGGGTATACATGTTGTTATATACCTAGCAGTGGAATTGCTGGGTCATATGGTAACTATGTTTAACATTTGGAGAAACTGCCGAAGTGACTACCATTCTGCAGTCCCATCAGCAATGTGCCAGCGTTCCAGTTTCTCCAAGTCCTCACCTCCAACACTTGTTATTGCCTTGCTCTTTGACTCTAGCTATCCTAGTGAATGTGAAAAGGTATCTATATCATCGTGGCTTTGATTTGCATTTCTCTGATGACTAATGATGTTGAACATTTTTCTTTGTGTTTATGGGCCATTTGTATGTCTTCTTTGTAGAAAGATCCATTCAAATCTTTTGCCTATTTTTAATTGGGTAATTTGTCTTTTTATTTGAGTCGTAAGAGTTCTTCACGTATTCTGAATACAAGTCCTTTGTCAGATATATGATATACAGATATTTTCTCCCATTCTGTGGGTTTTCTTTTCACTTTCTTGATGTAAATTAGTTAATCTTCATATTTGTAGCTCTCATGTTCCCTAAGTGGATCACAAGCCAGATATCCTTGACATGTATATGAAGGTCAATGCATCTAGTCTTCCATAGATTAAAAGCTCCTGCATTGGTCACAAAAACACAGACTTCCCAAAGTCATCTAGGTGAGCCTCTCAGCCAGCAAAGGCAATTCACTTTTGATAACATAGGAGACATGCCTTCACATCTAATTAGAATTTGAATTTGATAATTAAAAGCATCGAAAAACCATTCCTTATATTTCCAAACTGTTGATTGGTTAATTCAACATCATATGGATTTGTATTTAACCTGACCTCTTCCTTTTTCTTTTTTCCTTTTTTCTCCGCCTCTCCCCTCCTCTCTCCCTATTTCAATTTCAGATTGAAAATGGCTCAGGAATCAGTCAGCAAGTTGACGTCAGAGAAGAAAGTGGAGACAAAGAAAATCAATCCCACAGCTAGTCTGGTGAGATGCATTTTAAACATAACTTCAAGATTTTTCATTACACCTGAGATACATCCAGGAGTGTATCTGAATGTGTAAATTTAAAGGATAAAACTCAGAGAAATAGCAGGTAGTATAGAGGAAATGAGGAACAAAAACAGCTCCATGTGTTCATCCAGCAAACGCAACAAAGGTTGTTTCCTGATAAACCAAATTGAGCCACTTGCCTTCCCACACCCTTCCATACCCTACCCCACCCCATGCCATGGTCTCCCTTACCTCAAAGCACCTTTCTCCTGAAATCTTTAAGCATTTCACCTTCATCAGTACATTTTCCTTGTTAAAGAAAGGGGTAGGGCTGATCCTCTTTTGATAGTTGGGAAAACTGAGATGCAGAATCACTTCACAAATGAATAACAAAAACCGGAACTATACTCCAGGTCACCCCGGTGTCTCTCCCTGACCTAGAAACTAGCAGTCTGGGTCAACTCCCTAGCTGTGAGGGGTAGTTGTCCTTCACAGTCTTGTTTTCGGGAAGGATCATAATGAATCTCCATCTGTTCATTACAGACAGAGTTGGAATAACTAAATGGTTAGGAACCCGAGGTGACAGGGTTCAAATCCCAGCTCAGCCACTTAGTAGTTGTAAAACCTTAGTGAAGTTACTTTGTTTCTCCCTCTTTGGTGAAAAGAGGGAAATAATATTACCTTTCTTTTAGGGTTATTTTGAGGAAGCTGAGAAGAGACATGTCAAGTGCCTAGCACCTAAAAAGAACTCAATAAATGTTAGCTCTTTTTCTTGTTACTACACGTTTTGGCAGCTTTGGTTGACCTTGCAATGGGCAATAGCGATGAGTGATAAGTGGGAGTATCACTCTTCTCACTTTGATTTTCAAACCCTACCTTCCCTGTGCCCTGATCTCCCACAGCTACTTATTTTATCCTTTTGTGTCACAAGTACTTTTTTGCCAGCTGTGTCCAATTCTTAATATAATTTATGCTCCATTAATTATAAAGTGAGATTATTTCTGTTGACTGACCATTGTATCTCTCCTAACAACTCCATCAGCAGCTAAATGAATGTTGAGTGAGAGGGATGAGGGAGAAATGGTGAAGTCAGGGGCATGTCACTTGGTCAGGAAAAGCTACAGTCTGTGCACATAGCCCCTCCCTGAGTGGACACATCCCCTCACTCACTAACAGTGTATGCACTGCATTCATTCATGATATTTTTGGTGGCAGTGTGCTCAACCCTGATTTTTCTCTTCTTCCTTCATCGGCCTCCACCTCTTTCCCCAGGCATCTTATTTAGGCCTCTACTCTAATTTTTACAGCCAAACCTAATTTCCAGGGGCAGAGAGATTGGGCTCAGGCCTGTGGACAAAAGGGGGACAGTGAGCTTACTGTGGCATTCTTTAATGGGTCGACCTCCACTGTGAGCGTGCACCCAGTTGTGATCCTCAGCTCGTTTGGTTGTTTTGTTGTTTGTTTGTTTTGATGGAAATTAGGGAAAAGCTGTAAACTGATTCCTGATTCAATTTCACAAGTCAGGAATAGGATCCAAACTCAGGATGGGTGTTTAAAATCATCAACTCAAGTTGACATCTAGACCATTACAGTAATTCCCTGCAATGTCCCATCTCACAGATCACGAGCAGCTGAAGATTCAGCCTCAAAAGGGCTTCTCTCTACATCTACATCTGCTCTTTTCAAAGGAGTGTACTTCTCACACTTTTATTTATTTATTTTTTTTAGCTTTCTATTTGTCTACTCCTAAGAGCAGACACCCCCATCCTCACAATGTTTAATATATTCACTTCTCTAAAACCCTAGAAAATTTGAGGGTTCATGATTCTGTTTTGTGTACTCTTGTTTATGTTCACATTGTGCCAGCAGACGTCCATGTCCCTCCCCATTGGAAGGCTGTCCTGGGAAGGAAGCTCAGGGACAGCAGTGCAGAACACCTGTGGCAAAATGGGAGCTCCTGCCATCCCTCATAGACTCAGTCTGGTCACCTTTTGTTTTGACTTTTCATATCTAGACTCCCTGGAAACTCTTCCTTGAGCTTTCCCTAATTCTGTTAGTGGGTCAAGGATGGGGATTAGAGGAGTCTTTGAGTAACACTATAAAGTTAGGACCTTTGTCACAGATCAACAGTCTGGCATGGTAAAGGTCGGTGTTTTAGATGCATGTACTTGGTTGACTGGCTAGTTATTCATTTTATTTAGTTGTTTTTTGGAGAGTAAGGGTGATAGATTGGCGGGGGGCAGGTAACGTAAGAAGAATAGAGATACTCTCTAGGGCATTTGGTAAAACTCTATTCAGCTTTCTAGACCAAAATTTGAGAAATTTATCAAAATTTGAGAAAGAGGAAAATTAGATAAAGGAATGATAATAAACTTTTTTTTTTCTTCTCAAACAACAGAAAGAAAGACTGCGTCAGAAGGAAGCCAGCGTGACCACCAACTAAAACAGAGACACAAGAAAATGATGACAGCAAGATGTAGTACCTTGCATGATCCTTTGCAATACTAGTGCTGCAGGAAGTTCTTGAAAGATATGTTACTAAATGTTTGTTTCGCTCATCTCTTCCTGAGGTCATCTGCAGTGAGCACCCCATGCCTTCTTAAAGAAGTCCCTTGTTAAGCCACAGAAAGAATGAAAAGCTATTTAAGGGAATATTGCAGGAGTATTTGACAATTGTTTCTTATAGAGGTCCTAAGTCCACTTTGTTGTAAGACCAGAAGTACCAAGATTTTCCAAATTTTTCTAAAAGCAGAGATTTTAAGCTTTCTAGTCCAAGCTTGAGATATGTAAATGTGTGACAGAAGAAAAGGATCTTTTATGACAATTGCCTCGAGAGAGTTCAAGCCTTTACACACTGCTGGTTTGATTATTGGTCTTAACTTTGATCCTATTGCAGTAAGATCTTAAAGCATCTTTCTCACCAAAAATGTTGAAACTTACTAAAACTATTTTTTAAGAAGTCCAGATGAGAGAAACAGTTTTTGTTGTTGTTGTTGTTGTTCATGTAATGAAAGGGAGAGAAAATGGAATTATACGTTGGTAGAGATGGGGTTAAATAGTCATTAACTTCATCCTGGAAAACAAATTATGATACAAGGAGTTAATATTGGCCATTAAGTGAGACCCATTCTTTTGTTTTTATATCAGTTCATTATGGTTTCCTGAACCCACAGGGATTCTCCACCCCAACTCCTAGAAGAAACAGTGATACATAAGCAGGGTCGGACTTGGGGTCAAAGCACCTGCTTGGACAAGTGACCCAGCAACAGAGTACATTTCACGTTTTAGAACATTCGTGAATGGGTGATGCCACGTTGACATGCAGCTGAGCTCTGTGTCATGTTCTGGGACTGTGTGTGGCTAGACTTCTCTCTCTAATCTCGAGAGGCAGTTTCCAGACAGGAGAACAAATGCTACTCATAGTCTTTTATTATGACCTTGGCTGACCAGTATTGACATAGAGTGAAGCAGGGGTCTTTGATGTCTAAAAAATTAAGGGCAGAAAAAAAGTTCTTTACATCCAAATGCAAAGAAGGCGATTACATTAATATTAAATTTTGAGTGGAAGATCATGCCTGGACAGCTTTATCTGAACCTGGGAACCGATATGACCACTGCCCCTTAAGTCACAAAAGAAATGAATCTATCTTGTGAGGAGACAAGAAAGGGGTCTGGGGGCAAATTGATCAAAGACTATCAGCTTTGGGCATTGAAAGAAGAGAGGTCTGAGTTTTCTTCTCCAACTGCTGGAGGACAGTCTAGAGATGAGCAACAACCTTCAAACCCTTCCCAATTCTGCTGCTATGTGTGGCCTGCCCCTCACCCCAGGATCTTCCCAGAACCTCTCAACTTGCCAGGTGCCTGAGTGTCCACCCAGGACATGCCTGCCAGTCATCAGCCCCCTCAGGGACCCCATAATAGATTCAGCTAATTTAAGCGGTACCATTTCCTAATATAATGCCTATCTCAGGAATCAGGAATGAACAGTAGAGATCAAATCAAGTCTCCGAAGCCATACTCATGCAGGTGCTAACCACCTTTTCTAACAATTCTAAAGAAAGAAATATGGTAACAGGTTGTTGAGGTTGTTTTGTTTGTTTGTTTCAATTCAAAATAAAAAGATGAGACAAACAAAATAGAAAAGCTGGTAAGGAACTTACATGACTAAAAGAAGTTGCGTATTTGCAAGAAACTTTTCATACTGCTTTCTTATATCGTTTCTTCATTTTCACTTAACTGTGAAGAAAACCTACGGAATTCATCAATTTAAAACAAATTCTACTTACAATCATCCTGGGCTCAGTGACATTTCTTCTAGTATTATCGTTTAAAAGAAAAGTTCCTGTTTTGCCCATGCCTTGAGAATCAACTTTGAGTTCAGTGAGACCAACATACATCTAGATCCTTATGGATCCTTGTAGACTTGATGGGAGACAGCAGCAGGTGGCTTTCAGTGGAGAAACTGTAGTCCGCTTTAGATGTTGAAGTAGGGTGCTCACAAGAAAGTCTCTGAAGATAAGCAAGACCATCACTTTACCCACGTAACCGTGCAAGAACATGCTCTCAGGGAACCAATGCTGAAGAATAATGAGTGGAAACATTTAATATGAGAGTTAGACAAATGCAGCCCAGGTTGGGTTTCATCCTCATGGATGGACTAGAAATTGGCAGTAAAATAACTTTCCAAAGAGCGATTAGGAAAACCTAGTGATTTTTTTAAGATTAGTCAAATGTAGTAAGTTACTGTATCGAAACATATAGTCATCAGAGCAAGATTTCCATTATTTTCAGCCAGTTTGAATCCTGCATTGTGTATCTGGATGCCTGCTCCCAGGTCCACACAAGTATTGCGTTGTTGACTTAGTCTTCATTTCCAACTTGGGTTGATCCTCAATAAAAGTTCACAAGGATTTGTTTAAGGTAGGCCATCTAAGACAAACTGGAGGCCCTTAAGATGATTCCTCTAAAATGCATGTTGAGATTGTGTTAAATACAACAGATGCCTCTAAACTTTTCATGGAGGGGAAGTAGTCGGGGTACCACTTAGCCGCTTGAGCATATAAGGCAAAGAGGGTTTAAGTGGCTGTTCTAAGCATGGCCCTCCCTGTATGAGAGGGACAGTGGCCAGTATTGCTACTCTGTGTTTAACCAGACACACACATGACTTAATAGTCAGACTCTGAGAAAACTTAAGTTGGAAATAACGTCATCTCTTCCTAGCCAACATTCATTAAATCTGAGGACACAGTTGGATATCACTTCATATTCTTGCATGAGTAACTGGCATCATCCTTGAGCACACAAGTATATCACATATCACACCAAACCGTGATAAAAACATGTTAGGTAAAAAACATCAGGCCTGTGAGGTGTCAAAAATCGGGTTAGAAGGAGGTATGCTGAATGGCTTTTAAGCCAAGAAGAGGGAGAAAAAAGGGAAAAGTGTAGCCAAGCAGAAATGGATGAATATGATGATGATTGAGCCCCAGCAGTCACAGGTGACAGACCTGCTGCCAGTGGTTGCCTTTTGAATACTTGAGTTGATGTCCATGATGTCTCTTCAAATCCTTGCTGCAACTACCTAGGAATTATAGAGGAAGAATTTCTGAAATCTGAGAAGTAGAGTAAGGAAACTCAGTGGTGCTGTTGCATCTTGAAATGTTGTTAGCTGACACAAATTGGCAGTATGGTCGAGGAATGAATGTCAGATCGGGTGCTGGCCTCCGACCCCCTGTTTCTCCCAGTAAGGACAGTAGAAGCCACACACCTTGTGAGCCTCCTTTAGGTACCCCCTTTGTCCATAAGTACCATAAGAAAGGCAGAGCGACTGGAGGAACTTAAGGAAGGAATAAACTCTTTGGTGATGTCAGAAACCCCACAGAGGTAGTCATCAGTATGGTTCTTCCAAGGACCAGCAGAAGAGCTGTAAGTGTATTTTTGAATATCTCTCCTAGATTATACTGCCTGCAGCGGGGAAATTTTTGTTTCAATTTATTCTTGCTTTCTTGGACATTATGTTTTCTCGTTTCTATTTCTCCTCTTCCTGTGTGTGTCATTGATGCAGATCACTGCCTGCAGCAGCACAGCAAACCTGGTCAGTGTGTGAAGGGGAATTAGCAATGCAGACCTGCAGTCTCCTTCTTGGTAACCAGACGTAACATTGGCAGGAAGCCTCCTCCTTCCCTGACATCCTAAATTGGTCTATTCTGTGGTACTCTTCCCTCCCCGCAAACGAAGATAAAACCAACTTGGGGCTTTCTGAGTCAAGGAGAGAGAAGGAGTCCAAAAAATATAGCTTTAATCTCCCCAAATATCTGATCCAAGTATCAAATATACAATTGTATAAAGTAGTTTAAGTTGTCTTTAAGATTGTTAGGAAGAACTGTTAGATTTGAGCTTTATTTTTCTTTGATCCTGCCTGTTCTAATAAAAAAAAAAAAATCGAAGAGCTGGAAGGGGAAATAAAAAAGCTTCAGCAGATTTGGTAATTCCCAAGTTAGCTTATTTGTTCCTGAATCACAAAAAAAATGGACATACTATGAAATCCAATGAGTTTATTTTTGAAAAAGCCGCATGAAGGAGAAGTGATATAACGTAGTGGGAGAAGTGCTTGACCATTAAAATTTCCTTACTCTGGGTTCTTGTAAGAGCAATTTGTAAATGTGTGGAACATCCAGAAGACCATAACTACCATATTTCATTTATTAGTTATTATACCTTTAGGAACAATACTGATCAAAAGAGTGGATTGAATAACGAAGTAAACTTTCATTCATGTCAGCTACTTTGTCATCATAAAGAAATCTGCAACACAAGAAAAACAAGTCTGGCCAAACTAAGTAGTATTTAGTATTAGAAAAGTATGAATAGTTTTTAGCCTTCCCAAAATACAAATAACCTGTTGGACATATTTCCATTTTCCAGCTGTAGAGAAAAATAATCCACCTACTTGGAACCTTCTCTATTATTGGTACAGAAGTCGTTTAAGGAAAAGCACCCTCAGAAACAGTCCTCAGCATATCTGGCTCTTTTAGACTCACATAACTACCAGTATTTCTAACTCCATTAGCAATTGAATCCAGGCATAACTAGGCTTCGTTACATAGCTTTATGTGACAGACCCATTTTGTGTCGCTTCTGCACGCCCATCAGTTGTTGACACCTTAGAAGCACTGAATGTTAATTTCACATTTCTTCATTTCCCCTCCCAAAGAGTAAATCTGTCAAACCCTCCAAATCAGTGCTTTGTTGGGCAGTAGTGAATTCAAGAAAGTTATTTTAACATGTCAAACTTGAAGCCAACGCAGTAGTCTTATTCAACTCCAAGACTCTTAATCAACACTGTGATATAAACTTAATTGGGAAATTTGTGTAGTTGACAACTTACTTAGAAATGCAAAGATATTATAATGGTAGCTAGTTCGGTCTGTCTTTTAAGTCCCCAGGCAGTTTCTATCAATGAAGAGTTTAGGAAAGTAAATCAAGCCTCATTCAGTAGGTTGGCTGTCCTCAAATGGAGCTTACTGGAGTCACTCCCCTTCGATCCCCAGCCCCTCTCCCAACCACCCTGGTGACAGTAACATGGACGACCTCTTCCTTCTCATCCTTCCTTTCTCTGGTATGAGGTTCATTCCGTCAACAGCACAAACAGACTCCAGACTTTGTTGCGTATTACATCTATGGAGCACTTACTTGTTCATGAATTTCTCCTGCATTTCACCTATGTTCATATAATTTTCTATTTAAAAAAAAAAATCTTTTACTGCTAAGAATCTCGTCTGTCTCCTTTTCTAAAAGCTAATCCAGGTACTTCTGTGGGCTATTTTTTTTTTTAACGTTTTATGTGAAATTTGATAGCATTGGACTAGCAAAATGTAAATGAATTCATAGTTTCCAGCAGAAATTCACCTCCAAAGAACTTGGCATTCTTCTCCAAGAAGGAAACAACCTACTTCCAGCGTA